ACATGGAGATTATATGAGGTTTCCCCAGGTGATATAAAGAAATGTGCTAATAGTCAAGCCGCTGGATTTTTTTCGCACCTCACTTAAACACTGTGGACAGACCTATTTACTTGTTGTGTCAGGGTTTCATTAAAGGCTTTTCTTTTTAAGTCAGTACAATCACACACGGATGGACTGACTTGTCAAAGTATCCCTGCAAACTGTGGGGATGAATGGGGTTTTGATCCTGGCGTCCCACAGTAAAGGCCAATAGTAAAAACACTAGGCAGCTTCTGTCACTACATATGTCCCCAAAACAAAGCTTTTCATGCATTTAAAAAAGTAACCTTAAATTTGTAACCCATTTATTAATTACACCAAAAAATATATGCCTCTATTGATTAGAAATAATTTATTAAAAATGCAGTTTTTTTAAAATTAGCACGAGTAAGAACGGACTATGGCATTGTAGGCTAGATCAAAAGAAGATTTAAAATCAGGTAAGTTGAACATGGGGTTTAATTTACAATGCACCAGAAGATTGAGGTTCAGCATAATATACATTATCTTGTACGTTATTTTCTATTTTGTAAACCTCAGGTATAATCATAACATTCAATTTTAACTGGCATATACTTCAGTAATTATTCAATAAACACCAAGCAGTAAGATCAAGGAACTGTTTATATATCAAGGTAATCTAATGCCAATTAGTGGTTCCCCACCCAAATTACGTTATTTCTGACACATCAGTTCTGCTTGTAACAATGTTGGCATGATGATGATGAGTATGAGATCCCAGTTTGAAAGTATTCAGTAATGCACTATAATAGTAGAATCCTATAGGCATGTTAAGGGATCTTCTCAGTTATTTTATTTCAGATATGATTAGATTTCTTTCTTGCTTTTTTCTTTGGAAGTTCAAGAAAGAACATATAAGGAACTCACTGAACAATAGCAGCCTTATGAGGTTGACTGAGCTGAGATACAATGATTGACCCAGAGACACTTATGGGTTTCACAGACAGATGGGAAGTTAAATCCAGGTCCAACACCTTTCTTACTACAGTACACTTCAAGAGGGTTCCAGAGATCTAATCAGATCCACGATCCTAATACTAAAGGGTAGCATGACTAGCTCCTCTTCTCTTTTCCAGAAAGAACTTTAAACTGCCAACTGTATTTCTTATTAAGTCATAATACTTCTGAGTTAGTAAATCTCCAGTAAATATTCCACCTGCTACCCTGAATACGTGGTCCTTAGACCTCCATTTGTTTTTACATTGAATTAAATAAGTTTAATGCTAAGATCTGCTCTTCTGAAAAGCAAGGTTTTGCTGTGTCAAATCTGTGGAATGGTATGCTTTTATGTCTATGGCCAGAAATATATTAAAAAGTTATATTTTCAGCTGCATAAGGAGTTGCTTAGCAGAAGTTAATCTTGCTGCCTTGGGAATGTTTTTCATTATTTGTCAGAGTAGCAAATTAATGGACATTAACCTGTTTTTCTTGTTATTCATTATGCTAATTAAAGCCTACATCTGAGCATCAAGATGATGAAAATGTATGTTCTTTGCTTTTGTATTCAATTATATTGAATAATTATTTCAAGGAAATTACATTTATTTATTCAAAAGGTTTATAAACCACTCTTTTAATACTGTCTCTTTTAAGGCAACATAGAGAAATACACAAATTGTAAAAACTCTGTGATACCAGTAGAAATCAACAACGAACAGTTAGGACTGAATAACACTAAGTACAAAGCAGACCCAGCAGAATCCTGGTTTAAGTATAGACAAAGATAAACTGACCAATAATTACAAGACCTGATAGGCATTATTGGAACAGAGTTCCACAAACAAGGGACAACTACCATGGAGGCTTATCCCTTGTTCAATCATGATCATGATCATGATCATGATCATTATTATTATTTTTCCTAAGTCTCAACAAGTAGATCATCCTATGTCAATTTTAAAGATGGTTTGGGTGGCATAACCTTCAAGCAGCTGGATGTAAATTATTCAGGGTATTAAGACAACTTTAAACTGTTGATGCTCAGCAGTTTAAATTTAAATTCAGCCTAGAAACATACTGATAACCAATGCAACGTGTACAATATAAGTAGGAACAAATAATCTTCCAGTTTTTATTCACCATATTCTGGAAAATTCAGTTCAAAGAACTGCCATAATAATTAGCTGTATTCAGTTTCAAACAAACTTCAAACCATATATGCTGGCTTATTGCAAATAACCAAAATCATATTTCCTGATTTAATAACATAGCAAGCTATGATTAATCAAAAAGTCTTCCTGGCCACATAGGAGACCTCTATTACTACGTGAATGTTTGTTTTCATAGTCTCAATATGGGAAGGGAAGTGTGCACTGCTGTATTGTAACCATTGGGAGTATGGTTTATTGCTTGTATCATTGAAGTTTCACAATAATTATTATTAAAGGTTTCTTGAAATTGAAATATAAAGATATTAATGCAACACAGTTCGTGCACAAGTTCTTACAGTGTAATACAAGTGAAAAGGGAAAAATGATAAGGAAGAAAGAGAGACAAGCAAATGCAGACACTACATCAGCATCACCACATATTTCTTGATGAGAAAAATGCCATAACAAGTAACTTAAAACAGATTATTATACACTATATTACAATTCTAGAACACATCTGGTTCTAATCTTTTTGGCTACTAAACCATTTTTTTTTAATACTGAGTTTACATTATATGATAACAGGAAACATTCAAACTCATTTGAGGTCACAATATTGTTCATGTTGTTGAAATGTGATAGGAATTTTTTTCACAGTTTGTTTAACAAAGGGCACCAAGGACTTACTGTTTTACAAAAGATGCAACACTGCGGATTAACTGGGCTGGGCTGTATTCTTTTTTGATATATGTTCATTACTTTTAATAGTAAGCAACCCAGAGTCACCAAGGAGTCAGGCGGCCTTGAAATTGAATTCAATAAATTAATTTAAAAAACTGGATTTTATACCTATTGTCCATAAATATAGGAAACATAGCCTGAAGTCATAAATCAGTAAAGGCAATCCTACAAGGGACTACTTGCTAATTCTTTGCTTTATTTATGTATTTATTTATTATTAGATTTGAATGCTACTGAATCCATTCAGTCTTCCAAGCAGCTTAGAACAATAAAGTTCTCGTATACCATAATGTTTTTACGGCAGCAGTGATTGAGGAAGATTCTAGTTAAAGAATTAAATAAAATAGTATGTTCTCAGGACTTAGATGCTACTACTGTTGCTGGACTGAACTAGTGGTCACTTCTAGAAAGTTTTGTGGTGATATAGGGGACAATAATCCTTTAAAGTGGGGTTACCCAGCAGTAAGGCCTGAGAGTATCAGTGATCTAATGCTAAGTTGTAGAGGGAGCACTGCATTTAATTTGGGGCATTGGGCCTGCTCTTCTTTGTGACAGTAGGGATATATATATAGCCTCTGTGGAGATGATATCCCAAGGTCTTGTTTATTCTTGTATGTAAAGGTCTGGATAATTCCAGGTGTGGGTTCACAGCTGGCATAATTAAAAGCATGTGCAAAAGAAAATATAGGAGCATCAGTAGTGATGGTGAAGTTATTTCAAATTTACCACCATTTCAGTGGCTTCAGTTTATAATATTCACAGCACCCTTGGCTATTGCCTGTCCTTGATGCACTGTGTCCAGAATTTATGCTCTGCTGTACTCATCAGTCTGCCATTTCTGTGATCAGACCAGGTTTTCAACAATTCTTTTTTTACAACCTGAATCTAAGGAAAGTGAGAGATTTCTCTGTCCATGGGATTGTTTCTGCCATTCCTAACCATTACATATTTCCTGGAATTATCCAGACCTTTACATACAACTGCTGCACAGAACAGTGGCAATTAGAGTGGCAATTAGAGTGAATAAGTGTCTCTGCTACTCATCCCCTCCCATTTTTTTCCATAAAAGATGAGAAACAAGGATATATATTATGACATTTTTTAAGAGTGATGTCTCTTAGAAGGAAGGAGAAAATGCTTATGGAAAGTCTCTGTGTATAGAGTCAACAAGTTTACCTTAGCCTTCAGGCACATAATAGGAAGAATGCTTTGTCTGGAGACAGGTTGTTCTAATTTCAATTTTTCTAAGTTACACTTTGTATTATTTTATAAAGCAGTTCAGTCACATTTTATTTTATAAAGCAGTTCAGTCAGTAATTGATGATGGCAGGATCATCAATACATTTTATTTTGGCAGGAAGTGGGAGGGAGCAAGCATACCTGATCAGGGTCTCATTGAGAACCTACACATACCTTTCCTAATACTGGAATGCCATTAACAGGATATGGGGCTTTGTAGAAGCCTTGAAGAATGGCATAGTAGAGTAGTGAATATAGCTATTTTATGTTCCTTTGGTGCATAGCTGATTTCTAACAAATGTGGTAGAGATGAAGGAGTAATTGAAGCTAAGATTACAAGATTTGAGGAAAACAAGACCCTCATGAAAATCAGTTGTGGTTATAAATTGACATATGTTTGGTATTCATGTTTTACCTAATAAACCTTTTTAATAAACCTTCCAAGTCTCATCCCATCACGTTTTTTTTAAAGAGAATTCAAAACAAAAGTATTTTCCTATGGGAAGGATTCTTATAATTAATTCCAAAATCTTATTTCAAATACATCTGGACCCTTAGTCCATTTGTAACTTTCCAAAATCAAAGTTCTAATCACCCTAATTTCATGCCCTGATTTCTTTGGCTAATTTTTTCTTACTCTTTTTCTGTACTTTGTATAATGTTGCTTGCCCAAAAAGTCAATAGGGTTTATGGAGTAATTGGTGATGCCCCAAAATCTGCCAGCTGAAATGATAGGTACAGTTTTATTTTAAGTTGATTGATATGAATCAAATGTAATTTCTGTGTGAAATGTTATCCTGGGATGTTCATTAATTATTCTAAAGATGTAATTGAACTGAACATTGTGATGGAATCTGTGTGTATTTATAGGGTGCTGTGTTAACGCCAACAATGGATCACACAATGTCCATGCAGCCAGCAAGTATGATGGGCCCCTTGACACAACAGATGAGTCATCTTTCCTTGGGCACAACAGGAACAGTAAGTTTAGAGAATGTGCTTCAGCTTCACTTTTTAAATAGTGCTTTCTCACTTTCTAGACTCTAGCAGCCTTTCCCAACTGGGGTTCTGCACAGATCTAGGCTTTTGCAAGAGGTTGCTAGGAGTTCCATGATTCTGATTAAAAATAAACATCTTTTTTTTAAGTTTGCATGCCAGGCAGTGGTGGCACTTAAAGTGATGGGAATTTTGACAAAGCCTGCCACTGTGCTGTTTTAAACATGGTAAAATGTGGGTTGTGTAGTTTCAAAATGAATTGTACTGTGAATTTTTTGTATTTTGTGAGATGCAGGGGATCCCTGAGACCTGAAAATTATTTCAAGGATCCCTCCATAGAAAAAAGGTTGAGAAAGGCTGCTCTAGATCATTTTCTATTCATCAGTATATTTCCATTTCTGTCTTTATTATTTGAACATTTCCATAGCTAATAAACTGTGTAATTTGTTTCTCTTTTTATATCAGTTTCAATTTATTTCAAATTAAAAGTTAACAACAAAATGCAGAGACTGTATAAAAGTAGTTCTTGATGCAGGATTGGAAATGTACAGATTAGGAACACCATGGTTTACCAAACATAGTAATAGTAGTATTTTTCTTTGGATCACTTGTGCTGTTTTCATACTCAAAATCATCCCAAATTGCCATTGTGTTCCATGTGAAATTTGCAGGTATCCTCATAATACTTGGATAGTTTTCAATATTACATTATCAAAGATAGTGTTATATTCATTCTGACTATAAAAATAGTTATACATAGAAATAACACTTCTGGGACATGATTGAAATCCATAGCTACAAAAGTCCTTATTCATACCATCCTTATTTTTGCTACAAGTTATGATTCCAAGTTTGAGATCAGAACTCAAAACAAGGACAAAGTAAGGACAGTCTATGAAAGACCTCAGAATACCTGTTTTGGAAAAAGTGGAATTGCTGAACTTCTGTACGTCAGAGGGTTTCAGGCAATCTCAGAATGCCTCAAAAAATACAATGGTTTTTTAACACATTACAGTTATGAATTGATAAGGGCTTGTAATCTGTTTCACATTTAACTTGCATCTTTGTAACCAACCTGTCTCCCCCTCGCCTCACCCCAATTTAAAACTTACATCAGTGTAGTCACTCAGTATCTGATGAAGTGAGTTGCAGCTCATGAAAGCTTATGCCTTTTAACGAACTCATCAAAAAGATACTACCACACTCCAGATTTTTTATCACCAGAGACTAACATGGCTTTCCTCCTACCATGCCATCTATAAAATCTCTGCTTCATCATCCATACAGAATATATACAATCATATAATTTGCTTCTTTTTCAGAAGTCGTTTGTGTCATAGCATACTGGACTCCAAGAGCGTGCAGTTGATTTAGTATTTGTTGCACGCTGCATGTTATTGCGTGAACTTCAATGATGGCATTAAATTCTAGCTCCAGAGTGTTTGTATCTGTGATGTGGCTACTGTAGAAGGACTAAGTTGATATGATATGTGAGGGAAGTACTAAATTGGTTTAAATGCTGTCAGTAGCTATGGTAGAATTAGATTTTCTTCAGCTGCTTCCTGTCAGCAAATGTAGGCAACAGGCCTGTCCAGTGACCATTTCTTCTCTTTTTCTTGTCCTTTTTACATAGTTAGTTTATAGACTCACAAGACAATAAATGACAAGTAAGCATTTATACTGACATATGCTGGAAGCCAGAGAGCTGATTAATCAGAGAGTTTGCTATTCCTTAGAAATTGCCAAATCATAGAATGGTATTGATTAACAACACTACATTTTTGTTGGCTGTACCAGAAAAGGATGACAGGAAATTTATGATGGAGTTATTTTCCTGTGGGGCAAATTGTATCAATGGGGAGGAGCTTTTAAAAAAAAAAACCTATTCCACAGGCATCATCATCTAATTGGATTATCTCTCTGTCTTGTGACCACTTTTAACTTAGTTTTTAACGTATGGACACATTTTCCCTCATGGGCACTGCTCATGTAATGTGATTAAAAGCCTTAGATTGTCTTCAGAGCTAAAGCATTTTCATTTTCATTATCACCTTTGGCAAATGGACCAAAGGTTTCCTGTTATTCTTTTCATGCTAGTTCTGAGTACTGCCTAAAATAAGGTCCATGGATAACCCAGCATAGTAGCTTTATTTATTTATTTATTTACTTACTTACTTACATACTTACATTTTGAGGCTGCCTGACTACACAGTGATTCTGGGAAGCTTATAATTAAAAAATTGAAAGGGAACAAAATATTATCAAGAAAAAAAAGATAACTGACCAGAAAACAGAACCAAAAAGACCAAATAGCAAAAAAACAAAACAAAAAAAATTTGAACCCAAGGCCAGATCTTTAGCAATGTGCAAAAATTCTTGTATCACTGCTGTCATGTATCTCAGATAAACCTGAGTGTCTCATGGGCCCAACCTGCTACCAAATTTTCCCGAAGGAAGAATTTTAAAGCTAGTTAGGAGTAACCAAAGAATATCCAAAAATTTTCAGGTAACCGAGGAGGAGGAGGAGGAGGAGGAGGA